TGGTGGTCCGCCTTCTTCTGCAGCTCCTGGAAAAGCCCTTCCAGCAGCTGAGTCGCCTTCACGTTCTCCTGGGGGTTGTCGAGGTCGATGGAGTCCCTGCGCGCGTGGGGCAGAGTAGTGGCCATCAGGGCAGCCCCCAGCCCTGCACAGGGGCTCCCCAGCAGAGGGGGGCACCCCCCCAGCACCCCAGGGGGCAGGCGCTGCCGAGCCCAGCATCCCCGCACGGGGATGGGAACCCCGCTGACCTACCATGCCTGGCTCTCGATCCACTGCGACAGGTAGTGCCGCACCTCGATGGGAAAGTGCTGCCCGTAGAGCGCCTGCATCTGCCGCAGGGCTTCGCCTTGGAGCTGCTGCGCCTGGATCCACACCGCCATGGCTCACCTCCTGCCAGGGAGACGGGGCCCGTCAGGTCACCGCGGCCGGGATGGGTGCTGTGCCACGGGTGGGGGTCTGGCCCTGGCCACCCCCGCACGCCCTTTGCAGGAGCCTCCGGGTTCCTGAAGCCCTTTGCGGGAGCCTCCGGGTTCTCCGGTGCTGCCAGAGCCGCCGAAGGAAGGGGCCTGCGGAGGCAGGGGACCCTGGCTGAGTCACCCCCTCTTTTCTAGGAAGCGCCTTGGGGGGATCCGGGGCCATGAACGTGCCTCTGCGTCGCCTCTCCACATGGTAATCATTTCCCCTTGCTGCAGCGTGGGATCGCAGACGTCGCTGGCCACGCAAATGAGGAAACGGGGCCGGGGGAAGGGCTGGCAAGAAATCCAGGGTGATGCAGAGCAGAGGCCCCCCCGCACTCGCCCCAGCTCCTGCCCACACCCTGGCAGTGCCAGCAGGCAGAGGGGCAGCAGCAGCCCTGGCCCCGAGAGCCCACGCGGCACCACAGCCCCCAGTGGGTCCCCAGTCCCGTGGCCACTGCGTGCCCTGTGCACCAGCACCACGGAGGAGACGCTGGCCAGAGGGCAAAGCTTCTCAAAGCAAGTTTTGGGGCAGCTCTGGCTCCGTGCAGGAGCACTGCCGGATCCCACCCCCCCATGGCTCCAGCACCCCAGCTCACACAGGGCAGCCGCAGCAGGCGGGGAGCAAGGACGGCCAGGGACAGCACCCATAAAAAGCCAGAGCGTCCCCTGCTGCAGTTATATCTGCAGCTTGGTGGGGCCTGGAAAAACAACCGGCGGTCGAGTCTTTGAGGGCAACGCGATGGTGAGCGATGAGGAAGGGCCTGGGGGACCTGGGGCCCCTACAAGCCAAGGATGCAGCAATAAATAGCATTTACACACACTCCCATCCAAACCACCTGGGATTTTGTATTGTGTGGAGGTGCTGGGCAGGGGTGCAAGGCTTTGAGCTGTGTCCCAAGGCCAGGCGGCCGGGTCGGGGATCTGGTTTGTGCACTGGCCGGTGACAAGCAGAGGGAGCTGGGGGCTGCACCTCCCTCCCGTCCCAAATTGCTCTGTTCAGCCTCAGAAATTCCTGGGGCTCCAAAAGCAGCCAGTGCCGTCCCACGGGCAGGGGCGCAGACAGGGG